TTTCCCAGGATCCCTTCTCCAGCCCCCTTTTGGGTTGGTGAATCAGGATATGACAGCCAGTGGCCCTAGGTGAGCACACAGAGAGGTGTTCTGGGCAAAGGGCCAGGTTCAACTCATAGAGCCAGAGGAAAGCAGTCCTGTGTAATCTTTACCCAGATCAAGATAAACAACATTTCCATTAGCCACAGGGACTTTTCTCCTGCCCCTTTCCAGTCAACACCCCCACCCCAATTCCCCTGGCAACCATTATGACAACCTCTATCATTATATATCAGTTTTGTCTGTTCTGCCATAAAAATAGAACCAGACAGTATGTTCTCTTTTGTGTCTGGCTTCTTTAACTCAACATAATGTGTTTGAAATTAGTCTGTTATTGGGAGTGACAGAAGCTCATTCCTTTTGGTGCTGAGGAAGATATTCAAATGGCCAAATCACACAGGAAAAGGTGTTCGAAGTCATTAGTCATCAAGGAAATGCAAATTAAAACCACAATGAGATAACTCTACACACTCACAGGAATAACTGAAAACAAAGACTAACAATCCCAAGAGTTGGAGAGGATATGGAGAAACTGAGACTCTGGGACACCACTTGGGGGAGTGCAAACTGGTAAAAATCACCATGGAAAATTGCTTGGCTTTCTAATAAACTTAATAAACTGAGCCATTCAGCTCTTCTATTACCTGGAATTCCACCCTTAGGTATTTACTCAAGAGAAATGAAAACATAAATCCAGAAAAAGACCCGTACAAGAATGTTCATAGCAGTTTTATTTATAAAAGTCCCAAGTGGAACAGCTGAAACGTCCATCAATAAGATAATAGATAAATAAATTGTGGTATGTCCATACAATGGAGATGTCACTCAACTCTCTTGGGTTTCTGTTTATGAGAAGAATAATGTTTATGCCATACACAGAAGTGTTGCAGGAATAATGTGGAGAGTGGCTTACAAATACAGAATTTATTTTTGGTTTTCTTGCTATATAAATAAGAGAAAGACAAAGAAAAGGTAGGTAAAAAAAAGGACACAAACTAACGTGCTGTTGGCTGCCAACTCCTAAACCTCCTGAGATTTCTCATCTCCCTGGATCCAGCTGCCATTTCTCTGACATATTGCAAGCAAGAAATAGGAAATAAAACCATTTTTGCCAAAAACAAAAACAAGGGCACCAGAAGGGTTTGTCTTAGAGCCTTAACTTTCAAGGAACAGCCAAACTTCGTGTACACGTTTCATCTGTTCAACTCAGACATCTTAAAGCATCTACTTCTGCATCTTTCCCGTAATCTTTAGTCTGTCTTATTATTAAATGACTCATCTTCTATCCTGTTTTAATCAGCAAACCACCTCAAAACTCTTTGGAAACAAGTAAGAAAATAATCACATGCACTCACTCACACACACTCACCCACAGACACACACACACTCACACACAGACCTGCGCGTATGCTGCCTTCACCTACGTATACCTGGATGTCTTCATATTTTCTACAGATACGTACAATAAGCATAAAATAAAGCAAGGAGTCACTTGATAGCAAACATGCCAGAACTTATACATCTGAGTGAGGTTCTCCAAAGTGGAGAGCTTCTATCCTTATTCTGATGATGCTGTTCTTGCTCAAAACATTTTTGGATCTCTAGAAGCCATGTTATATGAAGAACTATGAAAATAGAGCCTGTTGAGCCTGGAGGAGAAAAGCCTGCCCTTACATATTTGACGAGCCATTGTGTGAAAGGGGGAATATATTTATTATCCCCGTTGTACACATGAGGAAACAGGTTCAGTCACTTGTCCAAGATCCCACGCCGGTAAGGTGTGATGGCTCAATCTGAGCTGGGGCAGTCTGCCCCGATCTGCTTTACCACTGGCCCTCATGGAAAGGGATGGGGCAGACTAATGAAGAAGCATGGTAATGCACTCCAGGGGCTCTGGTGGAAGAGGGCTGGGCTGCAGTGGCTGCTTCAAGGGTGAGTGCTCAATCAGGCCCCGGGGTTGGAGGTGGGATGGTGGTAGGTGTCAGGAAGGACTTCACGGAAGAGCTGCCATTCACAAGGAAGGGAGTTTAAAAAGCTGATTCAGCTCTTTGCAGACTGATGGGTTTTTCTCACCTCTTTCCAAGGTCAGTTCAGACAAAGCAAAGTGGGACTTATAACATCCCATTCCTCAGTCACTAGCAATACAATTATCTGGTCCTCAGAGGGCATTTTCCCTGTCTTGTGTGGATGCGGACCTTGAGACAGCCTTGGAAAATCGGACCACTACAAGGACGTAAGTGGGCTGCCAAAGGCTTCTCCCCTCTGGCTCCCAAACTCCCAAAATCCATCAGCAGATCTTTCTTTAGCAGTCAGGTGGTGGTCGAAGGAGTGTACGTGAGTGTGTGTGCGCCCGTTCATGCGTGCCTTGGAAGGGAAGCGGGGAGGGGGGCGAGACCTGGGGGCCGTCTCTCCCCCAGCCTCAGAGCATCCAGCACCTCCACGCACGAAGCTGAAGCTGCCTGGACCCTTTGATCGGGACCCCATGCTGTGCCTTGTTCAGGGAATTTTTAAATTCTCTTTCATTTTATTGAGCGGCTTCCCTCCCCACCTCCCATCCCCGAGTCAGGTCTCAAGATTATTGGGTCCCTCTCCTCATTGATTTGTTTTTCTGACCTTTGTAGTAGATACAGAAATAGATGGATAGAATAAGAAAGGAAGGAAGAAAGGGAAGGGGAGGCAGCCCGGGCAGCGTCTGGAAGGGAGGGTGCATAATGAGGGTCTTGGGTCTGGCCGCATATTACACAAAAGAGGCAAGTGGGGTGGCAGCCGCCTGGTGCCCAGAAGGGGAAGCCCCTGGCTTGTGGGGGCCAGCCACTGAAGACCAGGCTAAGGCCACCACCCCGTGTTTCCCCATAAGCATGAGAGACAGACACTGGACCTCTGCCTCTCTATACATTTGCTTTCCACTGAAAAGGCTCCTGCATCAGCTCCATTTTTCATTCTTTCAGTGAATGCCCACTGCTCACAAGGCTCTGCACTAGGAGCCAGTAATGCACATGCCCTTTCCTTTCCCCTCTCTGGGGCTCCACTTTGTATTAAAGCCCATGTCCTCAGACCAACCACACTGGTGCATGCTCCATCATTGACACTAAGAAGGAGGAAACGAGTATTTGTCGAATCCTCACTGCCTAGCACTGAGAAAGGTGTTTTATTTGCATTACAGGGTGCTAGGCGAGACTGTTCCTGCTGTTCCAGAAACAGAAGCCGGGACCCACAGCAGAAGGCAGAACTGGATATGAGAAATGTGATTCCTCCCAATGGATCTGAGCACTGGTCCCACCTCAAAGCCGAGCGAGAAGGCTTCAAGAGTCAGTGGTAAAGGTCTGGGATTCCTGCAAGATGGAGAGCCTGGCCCCTCAAGCCCCAGGGATGCACGGTGTCCACCTGAGCAGGGGAAACGCCTAGAGAGGAGACCCGTGGCAAAAGAGGAGAGCCTGGAGCAGCCCATACCTCAGCTATTTGGTGAGGCTGTGATGTGAGTTCCCAAAAAGTCAAGCGGATGTCACAGAAAATGGCTGCACTCGACTTGTCTTTCCTGTACTCCACTCAGCTGGACTGCCTGCCAGGCACAGGGAGGCAGGCAGCAGGAGGCTGTGGGATCGACTCCTTAGTGAAAGCTGAGTGTAGGGCGGAAGAGATCAACATCCATCAGGGAATTACCACAAGGCCCTTCAAGGACCGAGACACGCACCTGCAAGAAAGCCTAGCCTTTGGACTCGTGTCACAGACAGTATGAACAACCAATCAGTGCTGGCCCAAGAAACACCAACACCCAACAAAGGCACACCAGAGATGGGCACAATTATATAAAGAGATGCTTGTCCTTTTCCTCTTCCTTCTACTAGGGACAAAACCCTGGAGGAATCAGGCTCTGAAGAAGGAGTCGATGCTCCAAGCTGCCTGGGGGGAGGGAAGTAGTGTAGATGAGAGTTAAATTGAGTTTGAGAGCTAGCAGTCCCTGTGAACACCCTACCTATAACCTTCATCTTTACCTTTGGGTTCACACAGGCCTGACTTCCAGCTGCCAGAACCTTCATCTCTCTGCCTGCAGGCTTTCTCTAGCCACTGAAGCCCTCTCTGCCCACAAATAAGTGCTGGTGAATCAACACCCCCTAGAAGCAGCCATCATCCACTGACAGATGGGTATTGATGTATAAGCGCCCCAGCTCCTTCACTTGGATGGAATAATTTAGTCACTTATTCTACAATGTATTCGTTATCTATTGCTGCCTAACAGTTTACCCCCAAAACATAGCAGCTTGAGACAACAATAAATATTCATTACCTTTCAATTTCTGTAGGTCGGGAATTCAGAAGAAGCTTGATTGGGTAGTTCTGGCTCCAGGTTGCTCAAGAGAGTGCAATCAAGGTGGCAGCTGGGGTTGCAGTCAATTGAAGACTTGGCTGGGGCTGACTGATCTGCGTCCAGCCTGGCTCATTCACGTATCTGGTAAGTTGGTGCTGGCTGTTGGCAGGAGGCCTCAGTTCATCACCACACTGGGCTTCTTGAGTGTCCTCATGATCTGGGACTGGCTTCTCCCTGGGCTGTAATCCAAGAGAAAGAGACCAAATAGAGAACAGCAAGGTCTCAAAAGTCAGATGCTGCATTAATTATCTACAGCTGCATAACAAATTACCCCAAGACTTAGCAGCTTAAAAAAATATATATTAACTCACAATTTCTACTGGTCAGGAATCTGGGCACAGCTTAGCTGGGTGCTTCTTGGTGCCTCTGACTCAGAATCTCTCCCAAGGCTGCAGCCAGAACTGTAGGTGTCTCCAGGCTCAACTAGGAGAGGAGCCATTCCCAGGCTTGCTCCCGTGGCTGTTGGCAGACCTCAATGCCTCACGGGCTGTTGGCTGGAGACACCAGTTCCTCACCAAATGGGCCTCTCCATAGGGTAGCTCACAACATGGGGGCTGGTTTTTCCTCCAAGCTAGTGAAATAAAGAGCAAGAGAATATAAGAAAGGCAAAAGCCAGAGTCGTTTTGTGACCTAATCTCAGAAGTGACATCCATCATCTTTGTCATATTCTATTGACAATATAATATAACCATATTCTATTGGTTAGAACTGAGTCACTTCTTATTGGTTGTAAGTAGCCCACACTCTAGGGTGGGGATCACACAAGGCCATGAGTTCCAGGAGGTGGAGAGAACTGGGGCCTTCTCAAAGGCTGCCTACCAGGATACCATCACTCCTGGCACGTTCTATTGGACGCACGGGCCACACACATAGTTCAATGTGGGAGGGAATTATGCAAGGACATAAATACCAGGAGGCAAGGATCACTGGGGGCCAACTTGAAGGCTGGCTCGAAAACTATTTCCAGAGTTCCCCAGTGAGATTACGCACCTGTTGATAACACATACTCTAATATCTTCCGTCCTTTCCCTGGTTCACTGCCCCACTCTTCTACTGGTCTTTCCTGGCATCATCTCCCAAATAAACCACTTGAACTTTAATCCTTATCTTAGAGTCTACTTCTGGGAGGACCCAGACCAAGACAAAGATTCAACTTTAAACTAGACCTATATAAAAATGTGTGTGTGTGTGTGTTAAGAACTGATGCAAAATTCATTTCTTACCATGGGACATAGCAAAAATTTTGAAAGCCATTATAGCAAGCACTACAGGATTTCAGAGTACAAGTGGTTTCATTTAATTCTGATCTAGAAATCTAGAAAGACTAGGCCTTCCAGGAGATTCAAAGGGTGTAGAGAGAAGGCAAAGAAATATGACAAATTGGAAAGTACATTGTGCATCCAGAAACAATGACATATAAACCTGGGGCTATTACTTCTTGAGTTAATTCCCCATTTGTCTTTTGGAGTTACATTTTTATTTCTACCTTCTCATCAACCTACTTCAATGGGGACCTTGTGTCAAGGTGTCCATATTCTGCCTGAGCTCCAGTCAAGCCTCATGCCCAGCAAATATTTCATACTTTCATAGGGGAGAATTGCTCTGTAACCAAATTGCAGAGATGAAATGCAAAAACTTCACAGCATTAGGGGGGAGTGGGGAGGTTCCCAGGAGTAAGCTAAGTCACTTGAAACAAGTGTACATTTTCATACATTTTTCAAAACTCACTTTGAGACTGACTGTAGATAGACAGGTACCAAATGACTCTTGACCTCTAAGTACCAAAAAAATGCCCAGGAGAAATCAAGGCCTTCCAATGCACTCAGTCGTGGGTCTATCAAGGGCTGGCTAGAGGAGCTTAAATCCAAATTAATTACCCAGACATCTCTAGTTCAGAAGTTGGGCCACAGACAAACTCATCAGCATGCAACAGCAGCACCATTCCCACGGTGAGAAGAAAAGGAAGCGGGATAATGAGGACGGAGGATGAAAGGGAGACCATGGAGGAGGATCTTAATTGTATCTTAATTGAGTCACACACTTTCTCCTTCATGCAGATCCCAGCCCTCAAGTCAGAAAGAGAGTGGCCTTTCTGCTGGGGTTGCTTCCTGTGTCCCAGCCATGTCTGGTGTCCAAGGTCAGTATACTATGACATTCTCCAAGAAAACAAGTGAATCAGTTAACTGTTGCTACAATAATGCTATGTAACAAACCACCCCAGATCTTAGTAATAATCATTCATATTCAGTCATGTGTCTGCGGGTCTGCTGGAGGTTGGCCAGTCCAGGCTGGGCTTGGCTGCATGGCTCTGCCTCAAGCTTTGGATATAGCTCATCTTGGCTTTCACTGAAGCTTGGCTCATTTCTACTCCACATTCATCCTAGGGCCCAGACTAAGGGGGATGCAGACACCTAGAAGGTCTTCTCTGAGCTCAAGAGAAAAATCAGAAACATCCAAGTCTTGTTAAGGCCTGGGCTTGCAAATGGCACTCCCTCACTTCTGCCTGTATATCACTGGCTCAAGGAAGTCACATGGCTGAGCCCAAAGTCAAGGGGTGGGGACTGCACCCACCCGCAGTGAGGCCACAGCAAGGGTGAGGATGTAGGGCAGGTTAAAGGATGCAGAGTCAACAATTCCATCTACCAAAGCCTGGGTCTTGCCTCCAAACTCAAACTGAAGCTGTGATGATTGATGGAGACTCTGGAGTTCCCATCCATTTGTTGTATTTCTGGTAATTACCAAGTATAAATGTGCAAATGACACACTCACACCTGCTCACCACAAAAACTAAAGGACAGTAGCAGAGGAGGGCACTGCCTACTTCATTTGCCCTGCAGGACCCGTCAACGTGGACCACTGCACTCAGGGGCCTGTATTGTCAGACTTGGCTATTACTCTTGTTCAGAGAGATGTGGTGTTCCCTCTGATGTTGGAATGTGAGGGTAATTGTGGGTTGTGTGGTCATTCCTGGGGAAAGAAGAAGAAGGCCTTTCTTCCAAGACAAATGTGCCACTCTACAATTAGAAGCGTTTCATAACCATCTCCTTTCTTTTACATTGGCTTTGGCCTATGTGGTTGGCTGGAGAGGCCACTTCTGGGAAGAAAAAATCCACATTATTTTCTGAAGGTGGAGTCAAAAAGAAAAATCAAAACCCCAGCTTTTTGACTTGGATTGACAAAAGCAGAAAACTATCCCAGACTACTCCAACCTGCATAGCTTGAAGTCAGTTGTGACCAAAGTGCTTCCCCAGGCCCTGGGAGCCACCCCTTGGGTGGGCACAGCATCACAGCCTACAGACTTGTAGACTGACCCTATAGTAGGGTGCCCACCCAAAGAGTGAAGGGGGCTGAATTCCAGCCCATCCTCCACTTGCCAGGCCAAGCACCCACACTAGAGGCTGGATTACCCCAAAGGAAGGGGCCCCTTTGATAATCAATCTGCCCACAAGGAGAATCTCTTGGTAATTCACAGAAAGATAACTTATCAGAGGGGAATTTCTCTCCTTGGACATCAGATGTTTCTCTACTCCAGACTGCCCAGAGGCTGTCCTGAGCATGGGGCCTGGTACAATGTAGTAAATTGGATTACTCTTTCCAACTCTTCCCTACTCCTATGATAACATTATGCATCCATATCCTTTGCCATGTGACTCTGTAGTGCCCCCCACTGGAAGAGGAGGGATGTACATCTCCATCCCACTCTCAATGGGCTGCGCCATGTGACTTGCTTTGCCCAGTGGAATGTCAGTGGATATGAAGTGAGCAGAGGCTTTAAATGCACTTGCTTAATTTAGCTTAGCCTCTTGAGCGTCTGCCAGCTGCCATGGAGGAGCCTCTGGGAGCAGAGGGAGGAATCCCATGGTGACCCACAGTCTGAAGCAGAGCCACCTTCACTGCTCCATAGACCAATAAGCAAAAACAATAAAGGTGTGCTGTTTGTTATGCTCCATTATTGCAATAAAAACTGACTAAGACATGATAGTAATTCATGGACTGAGATAAACTCTCCTCTCAAAGCAAGAAGTCTAGGGAGGCCAGCTAAGAGAAAGCATCAGGGTGAAAAGAAAACATAAAAGCCAACTTGATATCCTGCCAGAGGACTGAGCAGGGAGGCAGACTCCAGCTGGAAGGGCCACTGAGGACACCAGAGGAGAGTAAGCGGGCTCAGAGAGAATTTGGAAATGATGCCTAGCCAGGTTCTGGAGCTGAGCTTCCAGGACTTTTCATAGCATTCCTGAGGCTTCCCCGGTGAGTGAGCAGGGGCTATGGAGAGTTCTGAGTGTGCCCAGATGCTGTGCTGTCAATCTAGGCGAGAGCAGCCCACGAAGCAAGGCCACTGTGCTAGGTACCATGGAGGGACAAGGAAGCCCAGAGCAGAGTCATTTCCTTGAGCGTCCACACCTTGCTTTCAGCACAGAAAGTTACGACCCACTACAAGCGCAGCCCCTCCGTGGATGCAAACATCTTGTCTGCAGAGTCTTTCCACTGAGTCAGCCAGTTTTTAATGAGGGCCCTACACCAGGCAGTGCCGCCACCTCACCAGTTTTTTTAAGCCTTGATGGCAGCTCCATCCAGCCACAGTAGATTTGGCTTTTGCAAATACAGATGCATTTTTCACCACTTGTAGCAAGGAACTAAAGAATTCAGGTTTTATTGGCATGTGGGGAGAGAGGCTGGAAAGGAGAAAGGAAGGGAATTCCTCTACTCTACTGTTTCCAACCCCAAAACAAATACCAAAGTCAAATGCTTAATTCCAAAAGGTCAGTTGGGAAAACATGCCCATGTGCAATATTTGTCATGGTTGGACAGAAAGAAGCACTCTCTATGTGGCCTCCTTTCCAGGTATGACTGCAGACACCAGGGCCATGAGGACAAGGACATTAAGGACATCTGGGTTCACCCCATTTAAATCTGTTTACAGCAGTATCCAGAAGGAATATCTTTGCTAAGAACTTTTCAAATAACAAAAAGATTTTGTTAAGAGTAAGCAGACCACACCATGTAAAGGAAACTAACTAAGGTTTAGTGAAATGATGCATATTGAAAACCCTCAACAACACTTCAAGGCAAATGTCATCATTCCTGGTTTGACACAGGCAGGAATGAAGATCAGAGAGGTGATATGATTAACCCACAGTTACACAGCAACTAAGTGATAGGACCTGAATTCAAATCCAATGCTGGTCTGACTCTAAAATTTATGTTCTTTCCATTATACCAGACTGACATTAGTCAACTTGAATATCTTACATAAAGCAGATATAAAATCTCAGTCTACAAATACAGGTGTCTAATAAATATAAAACTTTCTTTAGTTTTCCATTATTCAACTTAATTTCTCTTTGAAGCCCATTCCACCAGGGTGATGTAACTTAAACTCAGGCAATTGCTTGCCCCTGCCCTTCCCAGGGCTCTACAGCAGGTGCTTGGGATGCTCCACACCACATCCCGTCGGGCACCTGGCTTCAGCCCAGTTGTGGGGGACAAGTACACAAGGGTCCAGGTACGCTGCCAGTGCTCAAGTCAAGCACACGCCACCAGGCCTCTCTGCTTTGCTGTGTCAGGGGGGAGGTGCCCCAGCCTCCTGTCCTCTAGGAAGACAAACTTGAGGCTTATTCTTCAGAATGTGCCCCAAGAAACAGAGCCCCAGGTACTTGCAGTGGTAACCTGCTCATTAATGTTCCCTTTATTGGCCTCTCATCCTTCCCTGACTCACTCCTCCCACCTCCTCACTTCTGCTTCCTGGATCTCCTCCCAAATAAACCACTTGCACATGAATCCTTGTCTCAGGCTCTGTTTTCAGGGAAAATCAAACTAACACAGTTTAAGTCAAAGTTCCTCGGAATTTCTAGAGGGACAAGGCACGGCAAGGACAGACTGGGATGGAACAACTGATAGGCAAGTCACCTGACCCCTTAGGTATCAGCTAAGGCATCCCCATCCCATCATCCTTGGTCACCAGGCTGCACAAGGTGCTGCTGAGTCGTCCTCTTTTCCTATCCTCCAGCTCCCTCAGGCCCAGCAGCTCTCTTCCCTGTGTGTAGGCCATGCCTTGTGGGGGTGACAGAATCCCTGTATTAGTCTATCAAAACATGCTACATCACCGCTCCCACCCCCCCAGGGCTCTACCCAGGAAACAGAACACAGAAGCCCACTCCCAGATCCTGTCTGCCTGTGTCAGCCTTGGCTGCTTCCCCGACGCTGCACTGAGAAACCAGAACTGGGGTCTCTCTCTTACTAGGACCACCACAATCTGCTCTCCCTCATGCCATGTCTCCTGAGCATTTTGTCTGTGTCCGGAGTCCCCTCCATCCCCTGACGGCTTCTGTTTTTGGATCCCAAAGTCAGGAAGAAACCTGCAGGCTACATTCTGCTTTCTGCTTGTCACTTTTGTCTCCTGAAACAATTATCTCAGGATGGTCTTCTAGTTCCTTGAAAGGGGAGGAGGGGGAACCACGATGGTAAAAATGATGAAACTTTTCCTCTGCCTCTTCCACAAGTGCTCTCTTCTTGCAGCCCAGTTGGAGTCGGTGGGTAGTTTGTGGCTGCTGCTTTTAAACACTAGCTGAGGCCCTCTTTCATTTTTTTTTTTTTTTTGAGGAAGATTAGCCCTGACTTAACATCTGCCACCAATCCTCCTCTTTTTACTGAGGAAGACTGGCCCTGAGCTGACATCTGTGCCCATGTTCCTCTATTTTATATGTGGGAGGCCTGCCACAGCATGGCCTGATGAGCCGTGCATGGGTCCACACTGGGCATCGGAACCGGCACACCCCGGGCGCCGAAGCAGAGTGTACAAACTGAACCATTACACCATTGTGAAGCCCTCTTTCTTCTGGAAACTTTTCATAACTCTGGTCCTTGGGACAAGAAGGATCATCATTTTTAATGAGCATTACAAGCTCGGCTCTCATGGTCATTGCCACCCTTGATTCTGAAACCTGAGGGAAACTGTGGCCCATGCTATGATAACAAAGGCCTTTATGGCTACTGCAGCAGGTGTTACAGCCCCCAGGCCCCTGGGAAACACTTCACTGCTCTCTACTGAGGGGACATCCCCACCAGCCTGGCTCTCTCTTCTGTCTCCTCTTGAGGCTCCTCAGGCTGGAAGATCTCTCAAACTAATCCAGCTTTCACACTCATTCCCATCTATCCCCTCGATGACCAGGGTCCCCAAAACAAGGCCACTCTACTCCAGGTAATGCTTTCACCCCCACTGTGGGGGTGAAAGCCCCTTGAGATAACCAATTTCAGAAACCAGAAAGATTAAAGCATGTGTCAGTTCCTTCTTGGGAACATTTCCACAGCTCCTCCTCCCCATGCCAGGAGGTCTCCTCTCCACTCACTGTCCTCCTAGTTCTTTCCATCCCCTCCAGGAAGAGGAGATGCTGATCTGCTTGGTCAGAGGCAGAGTTGTGGACTGGGCACCATGACTGGTGGGCACGTGCAGAGGCAAAGTCTCAGGCTCCATTCACTCATATTTATTCTTCCACTGGTAACGTCTCATGCTTTCATCCCCAATTCCAAGTGGCTGGGTGAATAAGAGAACTGGGGGCCCACCTGTCTCGTATAGGCATGGTCAAGCACATGTGTACCACAATTTATGTTCAGCGGACATCAAGAAGCCCCACTGCTCTGTGTTGAATGGTGACTCCTCAAAAGATATGTCCACTTAGAACCCATGAATATGACCTTATTTGGAAAAAGGGTCTTTGCAGATATAATTAAGTTAAGGATCTCAAGATGAGATCATCCAGTGTTACCCGGATTAGCCCTAAGTCCAGTGGCAGGTTTCCTTATAAGAGACACAAGAAGAGAAGACCCAGATACAGAGAAGAAAGCCCTCTGAAGACACAGAGAAGGCCGTGGGAAAATGAGGGCAGAGACTGGAGTGATGCTGCCACAGTCAGGAACTCCCAGGGCCACCAGAACCTGGAAGAGGCAAGGAAGGTTCTCCCCCTAGAGCCTTCAGATGGAGGGTGGCCCTGTCCAAACCTTATCTTATTTTTAAGTATTAAGAAAGCCCAGCCGGGGGGCCGGCCCCATGGTCAAGTGGTTAAAGTTCCTTGTGCTCCTCTTCGGCAGCCCAGGTTCACAGGTTCAGATCCTGGGCACGGACCTTCTCCACTCACCAGCCATACCGTGGAGCATCCTGCAAACGAAGTGGAGAAAGATTGGTGCAGATGTTAGCTCAGGGCTAATCTTCCTCAAGCAAAAAAGAGAAGAATTAGCAATAGATGTTAGCTCAGAGCGAATCTTCCTCACAGAAAAAAAAGAAAGCCCAGCCCAATCTAACAGCAAAACTTTAAAATTTTTCTCCCTTCTCCAACTTGGACCTAATTTAGGGCCAGAAACCTTTAAGTGTCCAGGATGGACTTGAGGGAGAGATAAGAAACAAGGAGCAGGAAAAGGTCTTATTTGACTGTGCCTCCATGAAGCAGAGGCTTCGAGGGGAGGAATGCAGAACAGTACCTGCAGTGGAAGAAACAGCCTTGCAGTGGGCTCAGACCAGCTGGGAACTGTGAAAACGTAGTGCTCTAAAAGTAGTGTGGACAAACTGTGAGCTAACATTCGATCAGCCTCGATTTCTCCCTGCCAGGTGTACCTAGTCATGGAGTCAGTGAAGAAAAGTCACATATGAATTTCAGAGCTAGGACAACCCATGGAGATCTCCTGTGGGGACCATGGAGTCCCGCCCTCTGATTTTACAGACAGAAAAATAGGGACCCGGAGAAGTTAAACGTGTCCAAGTTCATGAGTTTTTTCATTCCTAAATTTCCTGCCCTCCCTCCCCCGAGTGTGTGTGTTTTTGTTGTTTAGCTGCATCACACTGCTTGGGGGTATTGTGACATGCTCCCAGCAGAGTCAGCCCCAAATGCTCCACATGGAAAAGGTGCTTGGTAGGAGTGCACTGAATTGAGATGTTGAGCCTTCACTGTGGCACAGGACACCTAAGCTCTCTACCCCAACCCAAGCTGGGCATGGCTGAGCCTGGGCGTGGGCTTAGGCAGAAAATGCTCTGAGGACAAGCTAGCCCAGGGCTGGAAGCCTTAGGCTCCAGATGGGGTCACCCCAGCTGGGGCCAGGCAGCTTCCAGTGGCCTCACATCCTTCCTGGGCCACTAAGTAAGGACCTCTATTCTTGCCTCCCTGTCACCTTCACAGTTGTGGGAGGCCTTAACCTTCTCTGATCTCCCTATATCCCCTCTCAGCCCTCTTCTCACTGTTGCCCAAGTGGCTGTGTGTCTTAGTTTGAGCTCCCTCAAAACCAATCTCTGAAACAAGGATTGGGGTACAGGTAGTTTATTTGGGAGGAGACCCCCCAGGAAGTAGGCAAGAGGGGACAGTGGGAGAACAAGTCAAGGGGGAGAAAATCCAGTAAAGTGTACATTAATGAAGAGTACTGGGGCTCAGTCATGCCGGGAACCCTCTGAGATACTGAGGCCGTGCCTCTGAATGGCCCCAGTGAAGAAATGAAAGGCGGGGGCATTTATCCATTGACTCCCATCCCCCTCGATCATGGGCATCAGAAGGCCGCAGCCCTCTCCAGGCAGGGTAAGGTTTCCTGGGGAAGTGGGTATATTCTGCACTCTATGCCAAGCTCCCTCTGAGTTTGATGTTCAGCCTTACAGAAATTATACTTCCACAGCCATCAATAAAGTACGATAATAAAAGAAATCCCTTCCATTTCTGAAGACTTTCCTATTTCCAAAGCCCTTTCACTCATGTCATTCTATGTAGTTTTCATAGCAACCCAAGGAGGAACGTAACACAATCCCAATTTTATGATGGGGAAACTGAGGCTCAGGGGGTCTGTCTGCCAGGAAGTGGCACATTTACAATAGAAAGATCAGAGTTGTTCTTGCCAATCCATACAACAACCTCCAATTTCGTTTTCATTTGTTCCTCCCCTGAAGAAAAGATGTGCCCATCAGTAGTCGAGAACTGTCCTTCCACAGTGCCATTTGGCTGATACCTGGAGTGGTGGCAGAGCCCTCTAGAGGAGGCTCATTTTGATAAGAGGAGAGGCAAAACAGAAGATGCCTGAAAACACTGGACTAACAACTACTGGGAATCACATGTGGTCAAAATCGCTCTGCACCAGGGGCCTGCAGACGCTCTGCCACACTAGGCAAGTGACCTGGTCTCTCAGGGCATCCCGTCCCTCTCCCCTAAGCAGAAGGCTTGGTGGGAGGGAGGTGGGCCCAGCAGGACAGTCCCTTGGGGCCACTGAGAAGCAGGAATCTCAGTTAGTTTATGTGCCTGAGAGCAAAGGGTGATGGGGGAGGAGTGTACTGAGTTTGACAGCAATGATTTGACCATGCACATGAACGAGGATGGGAGCTTAGAGGTGGGGCCAAAGGAGGTCAGAGGAAAGGGACTCAAGAACTTATCCTTAAAGCAAAGAATCAAAGCAAAGGGACAGAGGTTTCTGCCAGTTTCACCCCCTCTAAGATCAGGGTCTTATAGCCCTGACTGCTTTTTTCAGTCTCCCGGAGTGCCCTGCCTGGTTTTTCATTTAAAGAGGCCCCAGCAAGCAATGACAATGGCCCCACCTCATCCTTTGTTCATTAAAAAGGGGTGTACCAAACCCGTTGTTTACAAACTGCACCTGCAGAGCCTGGGGGAGCCTGAGGCCTGCTGGGGGTGAGCAAAGGAGGCGGTGGGTGTGACAGGACCCCCAGGGAGGGCCTGGTCCCCCACCAAATTCTACTGGAGGAGCTCCACTTCAGTTTGACAAATCTTTTGAGCATCATTCTCTGTAAAGAAAGGGCTCTGAGGTTACAAATGCTTGAAACCAATGAACTAAGCAAACTTTAAGACTCTTTCTGCCCCTAAAATCTAGGCTGTTTTTGAAAAACCAAGGTGTTCCTGCTACTACAGGATTAAAGGGTTTGCTGCTCTCTAATGGAAAAAATTGCCTGAGAATCATTTTGTTCCTATTCTTGTTGGCATCTTGGTGCCATTTGGGTTGGTCTGAATTCGACTTTGGGGATCTTTAGAGAAGAACTTGTGTGACCGCAGTGGGGCTCTGATTTCACCATATATGGTGATCTTGGGCAGGCTCTGAAGGATGCAATTTGCCTTTCTTCCCGGAGGATCAGCTGTCACACAGTAACAGTAATCACCCACATGAGGGGCTCTGAAGCGCTGTTTCCAAAACTAGAAATCCCGTTTAATCCTCAAAGCTATCCTGAGAAGCAGGTGCTATTAACCCCATTTTCCAGACGAGGAAAGTAAAGCTCCAAAAGGTTGAACGATTCAACTTACCCAAAGGCACCAGCCAGTGGGAGCAGAGCTAGGAACAGAATCTGTTTTCCTGGCACCACATCCATGTGCATTGCTCTTTTTGAGTATAGGGATCAATCTGGAAGCCTCCGCTTCCTGCTGTGTAGCAGCCACTGTTGGTACCCCAATGCCATCCCCTTGCCCTTACTGTTTCAGTGCACCCTGCACAACTTCCAGCTGCTGGCACCTGCCTCTCTTTGCCTGAGATCTGCTTTCTTTGGCCGCTGGAACCCACCTACCCAATGAGGCAGGCCAGAAGTGCAGGAGACTTGAACACTCCCACCAATAACCAGTCCGTCACCAGTGGCTGACAAGAGTTGGTGTATAAACATCCCAGGCCCCTCACCCTCCAGGTGTAATAATACCCTAAGTGTGGTCTACACTCCCTCACAGAGTTGCTCAGAAGGATAAACACTAGTTCCTCACACTGGTAACTTGCTTGATAACACACCTTTTATAGGCTTCCTTCCCTTCTGCCTCTTGTCCCTCCATTCCTACAGGTGTTCTCTGTGGTCACCTCCAAGATGAACTACCCACACTGGAATCCTGGTCTCAGGATCTGCCTCTGAGGAACCCAGACCAAGGCAGGCTACCATACAGTCAAAAGTATGGCTGAAAAAAAAATCAACTGTCTCCCTTTTCCTAGAGGTTGTTGCAGATTTATGAGACCATATTCTTAAAGCCCGGTTAGGAGCAGACACCAGCTTTATCCAAAACCCATAAAATGTGCTACATCCCATACAAAATGTACTATGCGGCCATTTTTAAAAATGAGGAAGATCTCAGTATGTTGATATGGAGCCATAGCCAAGATATATTGCATAGTGAAGAAAGCAAGTGACAGAACAGCGTATAAGATGCCACCGTTTGTGGATTTTAGGGGATTTATATACAGATGTATGCAAAGAACATCTCTAGAAAGATACATAAAAACTGAAAAATGTAGGAGTCCCTGAGGAGGGAACCTGAGGACCAGGGACTGTTTCTCCTTTTCATTGTTTGAACCAGTTCACCATATCCCTATACTACTTTTAAAAGAGAAAAAGAAAAAGGAAGCACACAAGTGAAACAAAGAGGCTCATGAAAACAATCTATGGGTATCGTATTTAGCTGAGGAACTTGTTGAAAATGGCAGCTCCATTTGGTCAGGGGACTCTAGAATCTGCATTTCTAATCAGTCCCCAGGTGATTCTCATGTCAGTGGACTGGGCTCTGAGAAAACCTACCACAAAATGCCAGCTGCATTCGGCTGCAGCACAGGCTGCCGAAGGCACTGGAGGAACTGGTGGATTGGAGACAGGCAGAGCTGAGGGCATCTGCACATCACCACCGGCTGTCCCAGGGAGGACAGCATCTCTGCTCACCAGGACACAACACTTAATTATAAAGTCAGGTACAAGCCATTTCCTTTCCCCGACTCCCCTCTCAGGTCCATGGCGACCATCTCACCGGATGGTGTATGTGGCAGCTGGTTACCCTGCTTGCTTCCTTCCTTCCCTTTGTAAAGGATGCTCTCCTAACCCAAACAGGGAGCAAAATTAGAAGCAGGTTAATTTAAAAAGAAAGGGGAGGATGAAAATCACAAGCCGCATGAAATCTAAACTTGCACCCAATAGACCTTTATAACAATCTACAAAAAACCCAAGCAGAGACAGACAAAGAAAGCAATGGCAAACCATCTCCAAAATGCTTTTTTTTACATCAATTTTCCATTTCTTTATTTTTTAATTTATGGGGAGCCTCAAAAAATAGAAGTTTCTTCTCTTCTAATACAGTGATTTAAAGCTATAAATTTCCCTGTAAGCACTGTGTTAGCTGTGTCTCATAAATTTTGATACACTGTAGTTTCATTTTGTCTGATATTAGTATAGCCACTCCAGCTCTCTTATGGCTACTATTTGCATGGTATATCTTCCTCCATTCTTTTACTTTCAGCCTATTTGTGTCTTTAGGTCAAAACTGTGTATCTTAGATCTTAATTGTTTTTCAGATTGGATACTCTCCAAAATGATTGAAAATTAACTGGACATTGGTCATACAGTGAAAGAGTTGTCAGGCACCCAAACTTGAGGCAATGGTGGACTTTTAACAAATCTTGGGGACTCAAAAACTGCAATATCCACTGGGAAATAAATAAGTCCCCATTAAATGGTGATCGTGATGCAAAAGGCACTATTTGGTCCTTTAGGTTGGCTTCCCTGGACTGAGTAAGCAAGAGAAACAAGTGCAGAAGGAAAGCAGAGGAACTGATTGTTTACTGGCCAATCTGGAATTTTAATTCACACAGACCCCAGTTGCCTGAGCCAACATGGTTCTCAGGTGCTGATAAGTGCCTCACAAACTAGAGCAAGTACCGGCTATGAGACATTTAGAAGGCAAAGGCATCAGGAGCCCTGCCCAACCCCATACTCCCGCATCTGTCCCCTGGAAGAGCAGCGAAGGAGGACGGGGTAACCAAATAAAAGATGCACGCTGGAAGTTGGTGATCCAGCTTGGAGCTGGAGCTGAGGACCCCACTGCACCGCAAGCCCACAGCAAAAAGGAGAGCAAAAGCCAACTTCGCTTCAACTTGATAATGAGCCAGCTTCATTATAAGATTAGCTGCCAGGATGAACAACACTCTCTTAATAATGCACACATCGCTATGACAACCACCCACTTTGGTACCTAAAGATAACTTCATGGTGTGGCCATGCTTCCTTGTTTGAAGGGAAATGCTGTTTACTGTCAGTTCCACCATTCTGCCTTTCCCTAGCTCCTACGGCTTTGTGCCTTGTGTAGGTGTGTGCAAGCAGGCCCACGTGCATGGATGTGCATGCGTGCACATGAGTGTCGCAGCAGGGGTAGGCAAGGAGCCCAGGTCCCCATGGCAGTCCTGGCTGCAGGGATATCGTCCAGTGCTCAAGGTTGGTAAAATTTCTGTCGGGCCCAGGCACCCAAGCGTGTTGTTATAATTATTCAGGAAGACAGACTTGGCCAGGATTAATACTGTGATTAATTATGGTGGGAGCCTCTACAAGCGAGTGCTTGCTCGGGAGGGTCGGGAGGGACGTGACAGCCCCTGGCTCACCAGCTCACCGGCGGGACAGCCTAGGAGGGTGTTGAATGGGGAGCCTCTTGGGCCTGACTGTAATGAGAAATGAGAAAAGTGCTGAAAAATTGATGGCGCCTGCAGATTGCGCAGGCTGGCACACAGCAGGAGGCCCCATGCAGCCGGGCACGGTATGCTAATGCAGGCGCCTGGGCCTCGGAAAGGGAGGAAGAAAAGCCGGCACAAAGGAGAGAAATGCAAATGACAGGCACAGAGATCAGTGCTGAGAATCCCGGATTAACTGCGCAGAGCTGGTGCTTGCCTGAGTTTAACCCTTTCTGGACTGTGTCAGGGCTTCGAGGGTTGCTGCTGGGAGCTCTGGTAGGGATCTGGGTCCAGACCAAAGTGGGGATGCAGGAAAAAGGAGCTGGGAAGAACCAAGAAGCTGAAGGAAAGAGGCTGGTTCCTCCAGGGTGGTGACTTCTTTGGAAAAGGTCACAAGAAGGGGGAGGAGGTGATGAGGAAGTGACATAGGGAGTTGGAAATGCAGTGGCCCAGCTCTGTGTTTCCTGGTACACTGGTGGCCCCATTGGCAGCCAGAAGACCTTCTACAATGTGGGCAGTGGGGAAGGAGGCCAGGCGGAGAAAGCACTGGAACACTGGAACGTCCAGCACATTGACCAGGGTAGTGGATATACGGGTGGTTACAATATCATCTACATAACATTGCAAATATCAGACGTGAGCACTTTCCTGTATCTCAAGCAAAAATGAAACGAGGAAGAAAAGAAAGTGAGGCTAGAGCAGAGGAGCAGAGACACAGTTCAAAGCTTCCCAGACTAACCTTCCCTGGGAGAGAGGAGCAGAGGAAGTATTTCATGAACAGCAGGGATCCCAAAACACAAATCAGGTCTTGGTACTGTGGGTCCCTCCCGCTTTGGGGAACATGCTTTCTCTCCCTCTCAGATGTCACTATGGTTTGTACTCATGGAGAGGAAAATATTTGCTAAAACACAGAGACACCTGTCCCCAGCCCTCCCACCAGGGGAAGCATGTTGCAGGGAGAAGTCAGCAAGAACTCCACAAGGAGACCTGGCCGGTGTGTGTGTCAGGTCCTTAGACTAGCAAGGAGGAAGAAGGGGGATCCAAAATTCCAAACAATAGAATTCTGTGTAAAGATGGGCAGACCTGGACCAATGCCGGTAATATGGGGTTACACAGACAAGGATACATAAGTTGCAAGAGAGAGAAAACAGAATCAGATTCCATGTATGTAATAAATTTCAGTTATTCTCCTATCTAGATATTCATTTTTTAAGTTTGTTAAAAAGAAGACTGCAGACCCAAAATGGAATCGCTTATGCTAAGCCCCACATCAACAAACCAAGACCTCAATTCATTGTAGTTTCGGCTCTCCCAGAAATGGAATCTTAAACCAGTCAATCAAGAATTGTCTGATCAGCACTGGGTAGGTAACCTGCCTGGTGGACCCCTGCCAGCCCCTAATGGAAAGTGACCTCACAATAACCAGCCCGTCTTTTTGCCCAGTATAACGTCCTTGTGTCTGCTCCCCTCTGCCTATACAAGTCTTTTGTTTTGTACAGCTCCTTGGAGCTCCTTTCTATCAGCTAGATTGGATGCTGCCCGATTCGTGAATCATTGAATAAAGAAAATAAGATCTTCCAGATTTACTCAGCTGAATTTTGGTTTTTAGCAAACTCAAACAACTGTATACCCAGCTAGTAACAGCAATTCCCGCCATGGGAGGGGAGGATGTGAACTTTCTCTGTAGTGTTTGAATTTTTTTACAATATTCAAGTATTAGGAAAAATGCATAAATATAGTTTCATTTTGAAAGAAAAAAAATGGCAAAGTAAATGGGAGTCATGAGCTCTGCCTTTCTGGTGGCCTCATTCCCCAAGATAAGAAGGCATTGTCCCTCTTGATGTGTGCGGAAGAGCAGAGGTTCTGGGTGAAGAATTTTCCCCAGAGTTCTTCTCAGTTATGAACAGCACTGCTGAAACCCCTGCCTGAGCACACAGCCTTCCCATCTATTTCCACAGGAAGCATCTACTTGATCCCCATTATCAACGCATTTAAACATGGAGGCACAGAACTGCACATCTGGAGATTTTAGAGGTTGCCTTTTGTGGAGGGGTGTGGAGGTGACACTTATCGACTACATATTCTGTGCCCACACTGTGCAGGACACTTTGTGAACAGGACTTCTGCCCAGTTCTGCCTGGTCATTTTCCTGATAAGGAAACTTTGTGAGCAGTTACGTCTTGTCTACAGAAACTCTTTTGAGAGAGTGTGTGGAAATGGCGCTCTACCCCAGAATGTGGCCACACCATCTGCCTCCCATTGCCACAGCTCCCTGCCCAGCACAAGGTCCAGAAGAGCAGCAGAGGACCTATGTCTGTGTTGAGAAAAGAATGAATGCTACAGCCAAGGAGGAGCAGGTGAATGTGTAGATATACTCATGCACACCGGGAAAGGAGGCCATTTTGCAGTGTTAGTTTTATTTTTCCCCTGAGACAAACAGAACAAGGCAGATTGTCTATGCTGGAGTTCCTCTGAACCAGAAATTACAATCTTTGCTCCAAGAGAAAAGAGGATTACACAACATTTTAAATATCCTTCTTTTCTCCTTTTATTGCAAAGTTCTAACGAACTCCAAACCCAGGGATAGTCACTGTAACACAACAGATGAATCAAATAGGGCTGGGGAGTCATTTGGGATCTTTTTCCTTTACACACACCTCCATTCAAGGACAGGGCTGGGGGTGGGGAGGGGAGCACCGGGAGGAGGTCGCCTTTGCTGAGGTGGGCACAGCTTCCGTAGGCACAGCAATTATTCCAAAAACATCTGGAGCATGAAATTTTAAAACACCAGAACTACAGTGGTTTGAGTTGGTGCCTAGGATACACTTTGTGCAGTATCACAGGAGAGGCCAGGAAGCTTTCCCAGGAGTTAGGATCTGTCCTCTTTCTCCACCTCTCCTGAAGCAAATGCTTGGGGTTTGAATCCATTTGGTGCAGGGCTCTCCCTGTCCTTCTGATTCCCAAACAGGGAGAAATCCAGAAATCACACTGGATTGCTTATGCATCGACCCCACAGAAGGGCAGCCCGACTTTTTTTGCTTTCTGTTTCACAGATACTTTCAACTGACATTAAAAAAAAAAACCTGACCTGTGACACTTTCACCTACCCTTACCCTGAAAATTGGTAGAAAAGAAGAATTAATCAATTCCCTAAGTTTTAGGAGTAATAGTTTACACAACATTGATGATTAAAAAAATTTTATTTACAGAAGAATGCCAGCTAATAGACGCAGAAGAATAAAGAAATTAGAAAATCTACCAGTTTGCAGCCCTGAATGAAGTAAATGATTCAGACGAGGATCATCAAGGAGACTTAAAGCCATCGGGAATTAGGGGAGAAGGAGGTCATTTTTAGTTATGTAGAAGTGAGAAAAGTTATCTCCCATCTGTCCTTTCTCGGGAATTCACTAGGATGTGAGCCCCAATAAAATAAGGGAGCATCTATGGCCTCCGGGAAACGATAGAGCCAGCAGAGAGGGCGAGGGGCAGTCTTGGAGAGATGGCAATTAGCTCAAACAGGAGCAGAGGATGGAAGGCTAGGGGCTGGGGCGAGATTTGAGTGATCTTATACCTTCCATGAGAATTTAGACTGAAGGAGACAGCCAAGGCAAACGATGAAAAAACAAAAGCAAAGATCTTTTTTAATTCCAGGAAACATCAAAACAAACCTGCTGGAGGAGGGTGGCGTCCTCACAGCACACTGGTTGGCTCTGCAGTGAACGACGTTTACATAGTCACAACAATGCAATCACTGTTTAATGACTGTCCACTCCTAAAATTGAGTCAAACCAGAAGACTTTAGGTAAAAGTACACAGTATAAACATCCTCCACCTTGACAATGTAGACGTTTAAGCCCGACAACGGAGAGGAAAGGGATAGGAGCTCAGTAGGGATGTTAACACCTTCATCTTACAAAAGGAGGAGGCAGAAGATGCTGCTATTGACCTAACAAGATCTGAACTGTAAGCAAATCTCCAAAAGTGGCAAGTGTAACTCATAGAAACAAATAAAGAGTGATCTTATCATATTGGGCCATTGGGGAGAGATGGAGAGGTGGTAGAAGGGAGCTAAGTCTTCATCTGCCATAGTAGGAAGTCAATAATTAATGTCCAAAATTGATCAGCCTATAAAGTTCAGCAAAACATACTTAAAAATATGGGCGTAACTTTCAGAAGAAACAGCTAAACATGTTAATAAAGGCTGTCTCTGAAGAGTGGGGCTCAGGGTAGGAAGGACAAAACAAGAAACAGTTGTTTCTTTTTATAAGCTTCTTTGTACAATTTGATTTTTGTTTTTGTTTTGTTTTTTTGCTGAGGAAGATTCACCCTAAGCTGACATCCATGCCAATCTTCCTCTATTTTTAGTATGTGGGCTGCCAGCACAGCATGGCCACTAACAGAGCAGTGTAGAGCCACAGCTGGGAACCAAACCCAAGCTGCTGAAGCAGAGCCCACCAAACTCAACCACTAGGCCACGCAGGCTGGCCCTGTAAAATTTGATTTTTTAGCCAAGAACATGTATTACCTCAATTAAAAGATGTATATTAAAAAATAGTTAAAAGAAATGCACTAAACCATTAATTTGGGAATTATTGTCATCCCATGCATATATATTATCCCACAGATATGTATTATTTCAATGAAAAAACATACTGATGTAGAATTAACAGAACTACAATTCCACATTAATATGGGAATTATTGACACCCATAAGTATTGGATCTTCCCACTCTTGAGTAGGTATGTCTCTTAAATTATTCATGTTTCCTTTTATGTCACTCAGTAAAATTTTTGTTGTCTGTTTATATATAGTTTCTATGCATTTCTTGTTGATTTTATCCCTAAGAGCTTTCTATTTGTATTCCTATTTTGAATGGGATTTTGAAAGTAAGATTTATAAGTAATTATTGCTGACATATAAAAACCATTGATTTTGCTATTTTAAAATATGACCCTCATACGGTAATCTTATGTTATTATAAACAGTTTTTCAAGTGGATCTCTTGGTGGAGGGGTTAGTTGATAATATCATCTGTGCGTAATGATTAACTGAGGCTTAATTCTGCTTGTTCTTTTACTCTAGTCACTCTATTTTTAAGTTGTGAAATGACTGCAGCAATGACAAGCATCCTTATTCCCTCCCTGGTGTTAACAGATGCACATCTGATGTCCCACGCAAGCAGGTTTCAAGCTAGCTGCTGTCAGCAGGAAACAGTGCACGGTGGTCAAGAGGATGGGCTTTCAGATCAGACTGCCCAGTCCTGAGTCAGATCCCCATCCACCGTGTACGTAGCAGCATGATCTTGACCAATTATTTAACCTCTCTGCACCTCAGTTTCCATATCGGTAAAATGGGTTAACAGTGCCTACTTCATAGGGTAGTTGTACTCATTCAATGAGACTATTTGTGCAAAGCTCCATACAATGCATGGGCAGGTCTAGCCCACATGACTTTCAAGAATCTGACTCATATATAACACTCATTCCATATCAGCTTGTTAGATTTGGTCTTTTATTAGCCCCTTGAGGCTATTTTGGACCTGACTCTGTCATTAGTTTTCCTGGTTTCCATCAGTTCAGCAGAGCCCTGCTGATTCCCTGGGGATCGGGTGGAACCTTCAGGCGCTGTATCCATTCTACACAAGGAATCATAAATGTCACCCTCGTTCCCTGTGGATCGTCTCTTCTCTCTTCTCTGTGTCTTATTGAGAAAGGAGTGTGGGCTTTAAATTCAGACAGCTCTGGGGTGAGATCACAGCTCTAAAACTCACTGTGTGGTCTTCGGCAAGGTCTTAGCTTCTCTCGGCTTCCAGCTCCTCGTCTCTAAGTGGAATGAGAATGTCTCCATCACGGGGCTGTTTTGAACATTAAAAGGATGAACAAACTTGCACACGTAGCCTGGCACCTATACCACACCCTCTTCATTTCTTTCTACTTCTCCACCCAGGGCCCCTTTGTTCAAAATCAGAAGTAGAAAGTGACCTGGGCGGTGGGAGAAACCACGCTCCCTGTGATTAAGCCCGGCTCCACTTCGGGGGGATGTAATTTGGTCTTTCCAGGCTCAGCTCAGGTGGGAGTCAGAGGTGCTGGCTCCTTGTCCTGGGACAGCAGCTGAGCCATTTCAGGAGATGCTACCACCTCTGAAAAAGCAGTGAGAGTCCTCTGCCTTCACCGTCAACAGCTCTGAAATCCTCAGCTGAGGAACTTGGTGTGCGACACATAGAAACAGCTTCCTCCCCTGCAGAGATCAATTCTTCCTCAGCCAGAACCTGTTCAAAGCCCTTAGACCTTCCGGAAAGGCACCTACAGCTCTATGCAAAATATTTTTATTAACATTTGGACAAGACAAAGGAATGCATTACCATGCAGCCACATCTGCAAGCAGCAAAGAGACATTCAAATTGCTCTGTCACGCCAAGCAAATGCCACAAAAACCGACAAAAGCCTTCCTGCTGCCCATCTTGGTTGCTGGAATACCAACTATCAGCATCTATGGACTCATCCACTTGGCAGACATGCTAGCCTCTGCTTTGTTCTGCTTGCCAAGCCATCTCCACCAAGGACACAGAGAGGAGCACAGAGATTCGGACTGACAGTGATGCTCCAGCCTCAAATCTGTATTTTCATGAAAGCTATCCTTGGGAGGTTTTCCTGAGTGGCATCTGGAGCCATTAGACCTCTGTTAAGTGGACAGCATATTTTATTTGGTTCTTCCTGTCTTTCCCATCTCTCTGAATGTCCCCAACTACTCACCCACACCAGAGACCTGGTGACATCCTCAGATCCCTCTTTGTCAACCCTGTATCCAGTCGGTCACCAAGTCCTGTTGATTTGATTTCCTCAATCACACCCAAATATATCCACTTCTTTTCCCCTCCCTCTTCAATGCTTCCCAAATCACTGCAACAGCCTCCTGCTTGGTCTTGATGCACCAGTCTCTCCCTTTCCAATCCGTTTTCCACAAAGCAGCTAAAGAGATTGTGAGTTTCCACGCGACCAGGAAGGACTTGCCCCCTGGATAAATTCCAAATCCTTAGCATGGCATACAAAGCCCTGTATGATCTGCCACCACCCACTTCTCCCTGCCCTCCTGGTGTCCCCACTGCCACACTCCAGCCAGCTGAACATAGTCCAGTTCTATGTCACTCATCATCTTCTCCCTGACTGTTCGCACTGCCTCTAATCACATCCTCCTGGTTAACTCCCACTCACCCTCAGACTCAGCTCAAGTATCATGTCCCAGAGACGCCTTTCTTGGTCCCACCCACACTGAGTTTGCTGCCCTTCTCTGGGCTCTTAGAGAGCTCTGGGCTGACCCATACAATAGCATTTATTGTAGTTCCTTAGTCACTTCTCAGTGTCCCTAGTTAGACCGTGGGTTCCTCAAGGGTCAAGAAGAGATCTTATTCAACATTGACCTCCAGCGCAGGGTGTAACACAGAGCTCAACACAGGCTTCTGGAACTCAGTTAACATTTATTGAAAATATTAATTCATTTCTCAAAGCAAGTAATGGGGTTCAGGGCAGGCCACCCAAAATACGCCATTTTGGCATATTGATTATTTTGAATTAAAGTTACTTAGGAAAAAGCCAGTGCAACAGGGACACTTTGACTCTCCTTTGTCCCCCTGAAAGCAGGAAATAAATCTCCTGTCTAAAAGCTACCCTCCCAGTACCAGGAGAAAGAGAGACATCCTTATTGCCAGAGACAGGGAATTCAGGGCCAAGACGCCTCTACAAACAGACCTTGTTACTTCTTTACTAATTTACTACCCCAAACCCAAACCTCTTTGTCTTGTCAATGCTTCACAAATGTATCATTTCTTTGTCTAAAAAAATATAAAGGCTGCCTGCTTTGGTCACTTCTTTGAGTCTCATATTTCAATGAGCTCCCATATGTATGATATCAAATTTGATTTTCTTCAATCTGTCATGTTAATTTAATTATTAGGCCAGCCAAAGGATCTAGAAGGGAAGAAGGGAAAAGTTTTCCTTCCCACACAAGGCACTGGCAAAGCAACCTGCTACTGCTACACATTTGAAGAATACATTACTGTTTACAAAGCACATCTACTGCCTTTGTTCATCTGAGCCACACAATAACCCAATCGAGGAGAGGCAAGATTGTACTGCTTCCACTTTATAGGTAAGAGCAATCAAAATCCTTGATACAAAAATTGAAGCTCAAGGAAATTGTGTTCTGCCCAAGACCATTGGTAAATAGACCGATGTGGAAGAATGATGGTGATAATGGCAGCTACTATGTACCAGGTTCTGGCTGGGTCCCTTACGGGGGTCGTTTTGTTTATTCTTCTGAACCCTGGTCCGCTACAAGGGAACCCTGTTTCCCTATAAGACTACTCAGTTTGTCTGAGCCATGCAGAAACACTTTCAGAATGGGGGACATAGGAAGGGTCTTTTTCTGAATATACCTCGTCAACTGCCACAGTGTCAAGAGTTTACCCATGATTCCATTTTGAGTTAAAAACCATAGAATTTCCATGTTAAGACAGAACAGCATCTGACAAATACGTTTCCCCCAGTGCCGAGTAGTACACACAAGGCCATCTCCTTAGCTCTCACTGGTAGCCTAGTAGGCCCCAAGAGCAGAGGACATCAGAGGGGGATGGTAAACCACGGCAATGCTGCTGGGGGGAGGGGGCAGGCTCAGTTTGGAGATAGGCAGGTCAGACAGATCCTATCATCTTCAAAGAGGAAGTGAGAGGACATCAGAGACTGGGTACTTCACAGCTCTCTTCACTCTAAAAAGGAGCTAGTCCCTTCTCCTCCTCTGGAGTACAGATGCAAAGCCTGGAGCAGCCGCGGCCACACTTCCATGAGGGAAGCCCATCTGAGGACGAAGACTCCACACAGAGGAAGATGCAGCCAGAGTCATCACAGAGACACAGTGCCAGAGCCACTGTGATGCTCCCCACCTTCCTCTCTGATACTTACCTTCCTCTGAACTGTTTTCCAGGAGTGCGAGGTGACATATTTCCTGATAGTTTAAGCCAGATGGAGACACAGACTGAGATATTTGCTGCAGAAAACTTTCTAACAGATACAATTCCCTTACCAATTAAAAGGCTGGGAAACACCCTTATGGGAGTGTTGTGGGGTCCCAAAAGTGAGAGAAGCATAATGAGAACTTTGCACCTTGGGAGGCAGTGGCTAAGGACGTGGACTCAAAACATACTCAAATCCCAGCTGCAACATTCACTAGCTTTGCTACTGGGCACATCATTTAACCTTTTGAAATTTCAACTCTTTCATCTGTGAAATACGGATAATAAGTCTTACTTTATAGGATGGTTGTGAAGATTAAATGAGATAATGCATAAGAACTTTGCACAGTGCCTGGTGCATAGTAATAGTAGTTGCTATCATTTAGTAATAGTAATAGAACAGTGGCGATAGTAGTAATAATTATTCCATAAAGTGCCCCATAAGACCTTCAAAGCCATCACACGCATTGCTCTGCCCTGGAGGTGCTGATGGAATTTAGAGTGTCTCTAACTCAGAGTTTGAGCTCATTATACCTAACAGTTGAAACTTCAGCTCTTTGCAAATAGATATTAATCTCCAATGAAATATTGGCGAGCTTTAATTAAGGCGATCGGGCTGATTAATGATTCCCTCGGGGCGAGTGCTGAGGCACCCAGAAGTGGAGCACGGGCTTTCTGAAACACACATAGAGCAATTCATCCACCGATTTACAAGTGACGCTGGCTCTTCCCAGGCTGTTGGCTCTCAAGGCTGAACCGCCATCCAGGGTTCCTGCGGCTACTCTTACAACCATAAACACACTCGCCTATCAAAAGGAAAGCCTGGGTCACCAAGCCTTAGTGATTTCTTTATTCTGATTCTTAATTCTTTCTCTGTAAGAATTGAGTGAATGGACTGAGACTAGAAGTGGCTGCAGGGGTTTAGGGTAAGGAACTCCAAATTCGTGTTCCATTCCACTGTAAACTTGAATTAGATAGAGCCCCAGAATTTAGTTCAACTCCCCCAAACCCTGTGGAATGTAGGCCCTACTCAGATTTTATTTTGCACTTGGCAGGCCCCTCTCCACCTTCCAGATGGGAAAAGGAGCAAAACGTATATTATTCAGGACCAACACCTCAGGCCAGGCCTTTGCTGAGTATTGGGATTCCAATTCTGGGTGAAAACTCTGGAGTAAGGACTTGAATCAGAGTTCTTTTAAGGATTAAATGAATTCATTCATGTGCTTAGATCAGTGTTTCTCACACATAATGTGCATATAATTCATCTGGGGATCCTGTTAAAATGCAGATTCTGATTCAACAGGTCTCAGGTGGGGCCTGAGACACTGCCTTTCTTACAAACTACTGGATTATGCCAATGGTGCTGGTCCAAGGACCACAATTTGAGTAGTGATGCACTTCATTTAGTGAGTGTCATATGTGGTTGCTATAATTTTACATGTTTGATAATTGTTTGGTGAACAGAATTTAGTGGAAATTTTTACAGTGTGACGATATTATATTCGGTATTTTTGTTTCTCTCACCTTATTTAATCCCTATAATTCAACAAAGTAGAGATCTATGTCCCCATTTACAGGTAAGGTTTGAGAGGATTCCTGAATCTGAAAATTTGTGTCTTTCATCTATCCTGGAAAGTTTTCAGCAAGTATTTCTTTGACCATTGCCTCTCCCTATTCTCTCAATCAAATTAGAACTCAAACTAGAATATGTGTAATTTCACACTCCACACATCTCTCTATCCTACATTCTTTGTGATTTCTTCATGTTTTTTGTTGTTCACTAATTCTTGCCTCAACTGTCCTGAATCTTCTATTGAACACATCCATTGAGTTTTAATTCCCACTATTAA